CTGATGCCACCAAACCGCCCCTCCCACGTCCTCTCCATGGTGGAATCTGGCCTCACCATGCACCCAGCTGCTTAGGCCAAACCTACAGTCACCCTTGGTCCCGCTCTCCCTTTTGCACGTATCTGATCCCATGGCTCTGATTCCCCTCAAGTACAAACCAGCGTCTTCTCTCTTCTGCGCCCTCCGACAGCCTCAGAAACGGACTGTCCTGTTTCTACTCTTGCCCCACTACAGTTACTTCTCCGAGAGCAGCCTGAGAAATCATTTTTAAATGATTTAAAAAATAAATCAAGGTCATACATCCACACAATGGAATATTATTTAGCCACAAAAAGAAGTGCAGTACTAATCCATGCTACAACATGGATGAACCTTGAACACATTATGCTGAGAGAAGCCAGACACAAAACACCACATATTGGATGATTCCTTTATTTGAAATATCTAGAATAAGTAAATCTATGGAGACAGTGAGCAGAGTCCCAGGGGCTGGAGAAAGGGAGAATGGAGACTGATTGCTTAACAGGTATGGAGTTTTCTTTTGGGCTCATGAAAATGTTTTGGAACTAGATAGAGGTGATGATTGCACAACATTGTGAATATACTAAATGCCACTGAACTGTATACTTTAAAATCATCAATTTTATGTTATATGAATTTCGTCTCAATACAAAAAAGAGAAAACAAATTAGACCACGGCACATTCTCTGCTTAAAACCTTCCAGTGGTTTCACAACACAATAAAAATAACGTCTAAACTCCTCACTGCAAGGCCCCCAGGATCTGGGCTCCACTCCAGGACCTCGCACTCTCCCTGCCCACTCCCCCCAAAACTCCGTGAGGGAGGTACTATCATCCGCATTTCAAGAGTTCAGAGAGAGAAGTGGCTTGCCAGGGATCATGTGGGAACGCGGTCAAACTGAAGCTGGCTCTGCCTGGCTCCTAACCAGCTCACAGCTGTCATGGACGCTGTGGTGGCCACCCAGACCCTCTCTTCAGATCAGGCACCCATTGCCCCAGCTGCTGAGGGTGGCTGACTGCTCAGCTCTGTAGGTGGAAGAGTCCCCTCACACAAGGTCCTGACCATGCCGGGAGACAGCCCCCTCCAATGACATATCAGTGGAGGGTATAAAGGCCTGCTCCCTTACCTCAGGGGGATGTCTTTGATGGCCATCCCAGCTCCAGAGCTGCCCATGGGACGGCTGAGGCCCAGTCATGACGGCATCAAAGCATCACCTCCTCCCTCTGCCCAAGTCTGCTCCTTCACTCCTTCACAGGACTGGTTTCCAAGGGCATCCAACAAACCTCCTGCCTGCTAATCTCCATCTCAGTCTGCTTTCTGGGACCTTGACCTAAGATATCTGCCCTGCTCTTGAGGGCCAGGTTGGAGGGTGCAGAGTTTATCCTGAGGGCCCTGGGGGGCTATAGCTAAAGCATGCAAGTGACAGGTCAGACTTGCTGTAGAAAGATCCTACTGGAGGACAAACTGGAATGGAGACAGATGGGAAGTGAGGAGGGTAGCGAGGAGGCCAGCAAGGAGGCTGTTGAGAGGGGCCGGGGCCTGAATTCACACCATGGCAGGGAAGGTAGGGAAGGCAGGGAGAAAGCCAATTCCAATAGTGGCCACTGGGTGGAATAAATGGACCATAATTTGAGACTGGCTGACGAGCCCTGCACCTGGCCCGGGGGTGACTGAGGGATGCTGGTGCCCTGGGCTGTCTTCCATCTGGAAGTCACTCATCAGCTCTGGGCCAGCCTGTTGGGGTGCCAGCCTTGGCTCTGCCCGTCACTAGCCATGTGGCCTGGACATGGTACCTTCGTGCCTGATTCTGTCCATTAGGGAAAACTGGGCTAATACCAGGCCTTCCTCACGCGGTGGCCATGAGGAGTCAAGGAGATAACACAAGTTCAGAAAGCTCGGACAAGGGGCTGGCAAGCATGAGTGAGCATTATCCTGATGACTCCAGGCTTCCCAAGTACTTACTGTGTCATTGGAAAAGGCACAGGCCTTGAGTCAGACACACCTGGCTGCAGCCCTGTGTGTTGGGGGTGAGTCCCTTCACCACTGAGCCCCAGATCTCACATCAGCAGGAGGGCAGTGATCCTCTGGGCCATGAAGGATTGTTAGGAGAATTAAGTAACACTTGGAAAGTTCTTGGCACGTGGTGTGAAGTCAACAAACAGCAGCTGCTGCTGCTGCGAGGCTGGTGGCAAGCACCCCCATGAAGCTCAGTGTACTTGGCCATCCCACAGCAGGCAGCTGAGCCTCGGCAAGGCCAAACCCCGCCCATCCCCTGCGCTCTCAGCCTGCTCCTCCTCCAGTGTTCTCTCCCAAAATGTCATCGCCATCACCCAGCTGCCCCAGCCAGAACAGGAGGAACGCCTGCGTCCTCACTCCTGCATCCACCCCCCCAGGCAGTCACCAAGCCCCAGCACTCTCCAGCCTCCCCTTGTCTCTATCTCTGCCATCCCCTTACCTCCCGACAGGTCATCCTGCAGCCCCTGCTGCCCTCTGCCCAGCTGATTCTGTTTCCTCACTTGAGCCAGTGCAACCTTGGGGGTGGGGAGCTTGCACTCCCATGGACCTCCTGCTGAAGGTGAAACTCGTTAACCCACTCAGAGCAAGGCCAGACCTGGCCACTGTACCCCCAGGGGTAGCACAGGGCCTGGTATACAGGAGGCACTCAATAAATGCTAGCTGGCTGGAGGACAGATGAATGCATGAATGTATATATGTGCTAACTGTGCCGACAGGAGTAACACTAACCACAACAGAAAGAGAGCACGCGCACACAGCCCCTACTACCCGTGGGCCCTGTTCTAAGCCCTTACGTGGATGAGCTCCTTTTATGCTCACAACAGCCCAACGTGGTAACGGCTGTTGTTTCTCCAATTTTACAGTTGAAGAAAGGACGTTACAGGGAGGTTAAGTAACTTGCCCAAGGTCACACAGCCAATGTGCAGCAAAGCCAAGATACAAACAGGACTCAGGACCACAATTGCAGCAACAAATCAGAAAGGCTCCAGGCCCTGCTATGTTTGCCTCAGGCACCTTCGCACTGAATCCTCCTGCCCATCTTGTGGGCTAGGCGTAAGACACTGGGGTTAAGACTCTTGCCCAAGGTTACACAGCTGTAAACAGGACTATTCTACTGCTTCTCTGTTGATGAATAAATTGGCATCCAGTTTACAGTGACTTCGGTTGGAGGGCTACTCCCCTGGAGTCTGCTTATTTCTGGGGGCCCTGATGAACGAAATGTTCTGAGCCTACGTGACTGAGGACTGGGCTGTGGAAATGGAGGTCAAGGGGAAGCCTGTCAGTCGGGTGGGCATCAGGCCACCAGTTCCAGGACTCCTGCCTCCTGTCTCCTCAGGTTCTGGCTTCAAGCCCTTTAAGCCCACGCAAGGGCAGCAGCTTTCAAACAGGCTGGCAGCCTGTGGGGCAGTGCCTCGGGCCTGCCTATGGGGTGGGGCTGGGGAGACAAAGCGACTAGGACCCTAGGGACACCCCCACCTCCGCCTCCACCAGAGCAGCTCTGCTTTGTCCAGGGTTCTGAGGGTGCTTTCAATGGGAAAAAAGGTTCTGCAGACAAAACAACTTTTGAAAATCAGTGCCCTAAGGGATAAATGTCCTTGACAAGCAAAGTGGCCTTCTCGAGTCTACCCTGGTGACGTTCAAGGCTTGGATGCAGTCGATTCTGGGATGGGAGAGACAGGAGGGTGATAATCTCTGAGGCCCTCAGCCAAGTCCAATGTCAAGGCTGCCCTGAATGTTTGTGACCACAGGTCCCTGCTCCGTACACCTGCCCTGTCTCCCACAGCACAGTCCCGCCTCTGGGCATTTGCCCACACGGTCTCTCGTGCCTGGAATAAAAAGAGGAACTACACGTGAGCCTCCCACCTCTGACAAGCAATATGTGCGGTGCTGTCCCTCACTACAGACCTGTCAGGTATCATTATCTGCATCGTAGGGGAAACTGACAATCAGAAAAGAGAAATGACTCACCTGGGCACTCAAACCCAGGTCTGACTCTGAAATATTCTTTCCACTGCACCCTCGCCTACCACCTCCCATGCCCCTGCCTCTCCCACCTCACCTTCATCCAGATTGTGCTCACACTCAGGGCCTAGCTGGCTCTCCCAGTACGCCCCACTCTCTCTCACTCCCCACCTTTGTAAATGCTGCTTCCTCTGCTCCAAACACACTGCCCTCCTCCCACACCCCCTTCACCTTGCTGACTCCTTCACACTCTTTGGGTATCCACCTGGGCATCACCTCTTCTGGGAAGCCCTCCGTGGATGCCTGGCTGGATCAGGAGTCTCCTCTGGGTCCCTCCTCTGAGGTTCCCCCATCAAAGCCCCAATGGCTCTGTCTTGTGGCTATTTGCTTTTCTGCATCCTAAGGAGACCCTAATCTCTTGGGAGCAGGGTCCAGGTCCACTGTGCTCACCACTGGATCCTGTGCTGCCCAGCATGGTGCAAAGCACACAGTAGGTACTCAATAAACACCTACTGAATAAGTGGACTTGTGAGTTCAACAGGGAGCCTCGATGTCTACATGTGCCAGGCCCTCCTGGCAGGTGCTGGGCATAGCGCACAAATGAGGTGCAGTCCCTGCCGGCCTGGCCCTAGCCCTCCCTCCTGCAGGCAGCCTCTCTCGACCTGCCAAGCCTTTGCCTGATTCCCACTCCATGTCTCTTTCAGTCACGCAACAAACCCTTGAGCACCAACTAAGCCAAGGTAGCATGAGGAGAGCATCTGGCAAAGGGGGACACAGGAGGTGACGCATTGCCTCTCTTCCCCCCATGCCTGCCCCACGTGCTCGCCAGGCACAGGTATACAGTGCCCCATCGGCGTGGTGGGCATGAGGAGCCCTCAACGACTCAATCCTCTTTTGCTACGTGCCAGGCTGGTTCTGAGGCTCCACTGGCTGCCCACCTGCCGGCCCTCCCTTGCTCCCCCCATCCACGGCCCCTTCCCCAGCCCCAGCCCGGCCATACCCGGTTGATGAGCTCGCCGACCATGCCCGTCCAGGAGCCATTGGGCTCGGGTGCCCCATACAGCCCGTCCTCCACCAACCGCAGGCGGTATCGGAAGCGCAGCAGCTCGGCCAGCTCCCGCAGCATGTCCACACAGAAGCCCTCGAAGCGCTCATTCCCTGACAGGGCCTGGAAGTTGGGCCGGCGCATGACGTACGGGTTCTCCTGCGGAAGCAGGATAGAAGAGAGGTCAGAGACTGGGCATCTGGGGGCTGGGTCGAGGATCCTGGAGCCCAGACCAGGCAGCTAGATCAGAAATCTGCTAGCAGAGTGGGCGTAATAGAGTGATTGCACACATTGCCTCCTTACAAGCGTTCAGAACCAGGGGTAAAGCACATGGACCCTGCCAGCCCCAAACAGATCATAGGAAGAAGCCCTTTTAATCTCCACCAGCCAATCTGATGCTTAGTCATCTCAAGATCAAATGCTTACAGGGTAGGCAGGCAACTTTCAAATGAATCCGACTAGATGGAGATGGTGCCAAACTGGAACAGTGGCTTTCAGTTTTTTGGCTACGACCCATAGTAAGAGATACATTTTGACTGCAACTCCCCATCATACACATATATGAGCATGCACCTGCACACGCATGCGTGCACGTAACTAGACTATTCCACAAAACAGTCCTTCCCCTTGTGACTGTGGGCAATACACTTGATATTTTCTCTTCTGCTCTATTTCATTTTTTTACGCAACCAGTAGAACCCACTAAACTGACTTCATGAGCCAGCAAGGGATCAAAGAGGGTCTCCCCCACCAAGATTTAGGTCTGGCCCAATGCCACCACGAGGGAAGCAGGCTTGAGATGCCAGATGGTCCAATGTTAAGAGAATTGGGGAACCCAGGTGGTTTTGTAAAATCTCCTGATTATAAAGGTTAGCAGCACTTCAAATTCTAATACCAAATTTTTTTAATGTTTTGCTAGCTAAACAAACACCTTACAGTTTGCAAACACCTCTTGACATAATTATTGTCTAAATGGCTGTTCATACAGTGTCACTTTGGACTTATGAACAAAAGGAGTCTGGACTTAGGGAACAGCCAGGAGAAAAGCTTTGGCAATAATAGCCACATAGTTAACACGTAGTGGCACCTGCTGAGTACCAGCCCCTGTGCTGTGTGTTCTCTGGATTTTATTACTTTAATTCCTCACAGTGACCTTACATAGCAGGTATTATTGGACTCAATTTACACATGTGGAAATGAGGCTCACACAGGTCAAGTGACCTCTGTCACCTCTCATTCACTCAACACATAATTACTGAGCTCTGAGGCAGACGTGGCCACAGTATTTTGCAGCCCCTCTCATCAAGAGGTGGAGTCGATTTCCCCTCAGCTTGGGTCTGAGCTGGCCTCAAGACTTGGCTTTGCCCAACAGAACACGGTGGAAGTGATGCTGTAAATTCCAGAGCCCAGGCCTTCAGAGCAACCTCTTGGGACCACCATGTAGGAAAGCCCAGGCCAGCCTGCTGAAGGATGAGTGACCTGAGGTGTGCCGGCCAATAGCCAGCACCAACAGCTACTCCAGACCTTCCAGCCAAGCCTCGTCACCAGCTGAAGGCAGCCAGAGTGAGCTCAGGCGAGACCAGCAGAACTGCTCAGTCAGCCCAGAGAATTGTAAGAAACAATAATCATTGTTTTAAGCCTCCAAGTTTTGAGGTGGTTTGTTACGCAGCGATAGGTATTACGAAGCCTGGTCCTATTATAGGCTCTGGATCCCAGGACCCCACGAAGCCCCACAGCTGAGGGGCGATGGGATGAGGGAAGTCAGTGCTTTTCTCTCTCTACCAGGCTGATTTCCAAATCCAAAATTGTGGAACTGGGAGTAGGAATGTGAGATAATACTAATAATAGTGGCAGCAGCTAGCATTTCTTGTGGGCTTGCTGTGTGACAGCTATTCTGTCAGTGTGGGAGGTTGGTATTATTACCTCTGTTTTAGAGATGAGGACACTGAGGTCCCGAGAAGTATAGTAAGTGCCTGAGATGGACAAGTCGGTCTGACTCTAAGGCTCTGCTATTAAGCCCTGTGCTAGACTGAACTCAAGTGGACAGAATCAGAGAAGGACATAGGAGAAGCTAGACACAGAGACGGGGGACCCAAGGTCAGGTATCAAAGCTGGAGAATCAGAAATCAAGAATTCTCTAGACAAGCACCCAGCATTAGAGCTGGAAGGTTCTCATACAGCCCTCTTGACATACAGAGGAGGAAACTGAAGCTGAAAAAAGGTCAAGTGTCTTGCCCAAGGCTACACAGCTAGAGCAAGGCAGTGAGAAGGGGAGAAGGAGCAGAACTGGGATTCAACCCCCAGTTGCTGTGCGCTCCAAAGCCCTTGTCCCTTCCACCAGGCCAAGCTCATCTCCAAATTCAAGACCGAGGCACTTGGGTTGTGGATTTGGGTTCAAGTCCTCAGGATTGGGGTCTGAGATTATAAAGCCAGAAACAGGGCCTGGGGTCTGTGAACAGAATCAAAATCAGAAAATAATGATCCAGAACTCAACCTAGAGTCCAAGCCCATCAGAACCAAGGGTCTTAAGGAGCCTCGTATCCAAGGTTTTCAGACTTCTTCAAAGAGAATCTTCTGCAAAAGCACTGCAGACAGACACTGGGCTGTTGCTAAGTCTGATTCTAAGAATTCATCCTACAAACGGCCGTGCACCTGTACACAAAATGCAGGTCCGAGAGAGTGACGGCAGCATTGCTTGTAGCAGGAACAAAGGCTGAAACAGCCTAATTTGGGACAGGTTAAAAAGATTATTGATGTCATCAAAGAATCCTAGGCAACTACTAAAATAACAAGTTCTAGATATATTAAGAGGGAAAAAAAACAAGCTACAGAACAACGTGTACAATATGCTACTCTTTGTGAAGGAAAGAGCGGGGACGTGCTTGTACATGCACAGACATTTCTGGAAAGATGTGGCCTCTGGGGAAAAAAATGGGGGACTAGAGAGGGTGGGAGACCAACTTCTCACTGCTTATTCCCATCTACTCTTTGGATTCTATTTAATGTAGGTTTGTATTAACTTCTGTCCCTCCCCCAATGGAATGAATTTTTTTAATTAAAATTTTTAATATTAAAATACATATTTAGGGCCGGCTCCGTGGCTTGGCGGTTAAGTGTGCGCGCTCGGATGCTGGCGGCCCGGGTTCGGATCCCGGGAGTGCCCCGAGGCACCACTTCTCCATCCAACGTGAGGCCGAGTCCCACGTACAGCAACTAGAAGGATGTGAACCTATGACATACAACTATCTACTGGGGCTTTGGGGGGAAAAAACTGAATAAATAAAATCTT